GGGGGGGGGGGAGAAAGGAAGAAAAAAATACTAGCAGTCATGATACTAGATTTTTGTCCAAATACACATGGGATTGTGCTTTTAATCTTTCAGGTGCTGCAAGATTCTTTCAAGTCCCTGAGGTAGTCATACATCTCACCAAGGTGTGGAAAGCTGAGACCTGGGGACCTTTTGTGCCTGTCAGCCCGCTCCCCAGGTGCTGTTACTTGTTGTAGGGCAACCTCAAGGCCCCTGCAGAACTCCCTTCTTCAGAGTCATCATCGTTACGCCATAGAAACACAGAAACAGAGTGAGTCAGAAGGGGTCCCCCAGGCCATCTAGTCTGACCTCTGGCACCAGCCGGCTCCGCTCACGACATGCCCACCACGTGCATGGCCAGACCTGGCCTGGGCAGCCCTTGAAAGAGGGATGTTCTTTGTAAAGCAGGAACCCTGCTTCTCAAGCCAGCATGTTCTCCCAGGTCACGATATGCATTTTCCAGGGGCAGGTGCTGGTTTGTGGCTGGACTGGTATAGAGGCTGCGAGGCCGTCCCTTTTCCGAAAGGAGCGTTGTGCTCAAGGTTTGGAGCTCGCCTGAATGACTTCCGAGAAGCGCTTTTGAGCTGTGATTCTAGACTTCAGAATTTCCCTGAGCAGAGAGATCGGCTGAGGCGACATCTCCTGGCAAAAGATTATTGGTAAGTGCAGGTGATCTATTTCTGTGGGAGGTCAGACGGCCCCAGGAAGGCAAAATAGGCAATGCCTCGTCCTTACCTGCGCTCCCAGGTGTGTATGGCACAGAAAGCAAAAGGAGGACAAGCTATCGTTCAGATCTGTTGAATCACCACTCCCATCATTCCAGCCGCTGGCCATATGGCTGGGAATGCTGGGAACGTCTGCAGAGCACCAGTTTGCGGAAGGCCAAGATTCCCTCTCGCTGCTTCCTGCAAGCTGTGGCAGTGTGCCGGGCTGGAATGCAGAAGGCGCTGCCGGGCTTGCCAGGAGATCCCGGCGCATGCGCTCGCGCACCGGGCCGGAGAGACGCCAGCCCCTCGCAGGGCGAAGAGGCGGCTATTGTTCCCCAGCCCCGACATAATCCCGTCTAAGGGGCTTGTGATTCAGCAGGGATTTTTCCACGCTGGAGCAGTTTGGATCTTGTTCTGTTTCCTCAGAACTGTTGCGATGAGTCACCTGTTCAGCCCAAACAAGGCCCTGCTGACTCAGGATTAGTCAGAAGCTCTCTGCAAGCAGTTCCCCTGCGCGGAGGAAGAGGATGCATCTGCAACGGGACGTCTGGGGTGGGCCAGGTGGCAGCTTCGCCCCTCTGTGCGGCCTGCCTCCCCTCCGTGGCTGGAGCGGGCCTGCCGCGCTGTGGATCTCTCCGCAGCCGATCGCTCCACCTGCTCCCCAGCAGCACGGGGCCGGCACAGGGCATCGGCAGGGTGGGTCCCGCCTGCTGGGCCACGCAGGGGCAGAGGCGGGCTGATGCCCTCCTGCCCAGCTTCTCGGGGGCAGCTCTGCCAGACCCTGGGTCCGAGGACCCTTCGGCATGATCTGGCAGGGCCCGCCTCCTGGCATCGCCTGGCCCCGTGTGCCGTCTCTCGCCCAGCCGCCCACGAGCCACGGAAAGGGCCCTGCTGCATCAGCCCAAGGCCCGACCTTCTGCTCCCGCATTGGCCCCCCGCAGGCCGGGCCTCAGCGCACCGCCCCTCGCAACTGGTGGGGCAGGCAATGCAGCCGCCAGTCCCGGGGCCTTCAGGAACGGCCCCCGAGCGCCAGGCCCCTTGCAAGGCCACCCACGCTGCGGCTGTCGCGGCCCTCCGATCCGAGCGCGTCCCACCTGAGCTCACCCCAGTCCTTGCAGGCTGCTCTGGAGCCGGCCCACCTTTCCCGCCACCAACAGCCCCCTCCAGGCCTGGTGCCGACACACGGGGCGCACGGGCCCACTGCCGCCACCGCCTCCAAACACCGCCCCGAATCCCGACTGCTGCCCCTCCCCTCCCCGGGCTGCCCTCAGTTCTTCCCTGGGCACAAGCCCTCTTCTCCTTGGGCGCTTTACCTGTTGCACATCTGGCTTGCGTCAGGCTGTTCCGCTGTGCCAAAGCCCTGCCTGTTTCGTTCCTGACATTCTTCTCCTATGGGGACGCATTGCACAAGCCCATTTATGGCTGCCGGGGGTCAGGAATCCGGGATGACGCCGAGGGATGCAAGAGATCCCCACCGGAGCACGTGCTGGCATTCCAAGCATTTCTCAGGAGAAGCGAGCGGACTGACTCCGGCGCACAGAAATACCTTTTCCTGGAGCCCCATTTAGGGGATGGGAGGGAAGCCTGCGGCCCGCCAGATGTTGCCAGACTACAGATCCCATCATCTATGAGCTTTGCCCAGGCCGGATGAGGGAGACGGGAACAGGCGAGGGCGAGCATCAGAAAAGCCCAGCTGGATCGGGCCTGGAGTCTGTTATCAGGAGAGAGACAACAGCTCTCCCTGCCCCCTTTCTCTGTACAGGCACCGTCTTCCTCACGAGCAATTTGCTCCAGCCCCTTGACGCTTTCGGGCCCTTTCTCACTTTCTCCAACCCTCCTGCATCCCTTTCCAGGAACAGCAACCAGACCATGTGGTCACACCGTAGATTCCTCTGGGTGGGGCGGGGGGGGTACAATCCGGCTGTTTTATTTTCAGTTCCTTTCCTTTCCTTACTGTGCCCAATGTTGGCTTTGACTTTGCACAGCCGCCCACACGCCGGGCCGACAGTTTCAACGGCCTCTGATGGAAGCCCTTTCTCGGCCCGTTTCCATGGGTACAGGGGGACCCGCAGGGTGGGGGGGCTGCCCCAACCGCTTGCTGGAGGGAAGGGCATTGGCCGCCTGGGCGCACCCTTCTCCCAGGCTGGAGGGGCTCCTCCTGACCAGGCAGGAACGCTTTTTGGCATAACCTCAGCTCCCCAAATAATCTGGCTCCTCCTCTTGAATTGCTCACCGCCCAGCTTCACGGGGCGACCCCACTGCGTCCCTTACACGAGCAAGGGGGAGAAGCCCCCTGGGAACTTCTCCGTGACACCCGCAACCAGCGCTCCCCCCACCCCCGGCCATCTCTGGCAACTCCAGCCTTTAGCTCCTCCCCCCGTTTTGGGCCACACGGTGCCATTCCGCCAGGGTCCCTCCGACAGCAGGGGCTGGGCAGGCTCAGGGGGCCACGTGGTCAGCGCCTGGGGCCAGGTCCGCCCGCTTCCTCCTCCGGCATCCACGGGGCTCCGAAGCACGTGGGAATGCGCAGGACGGCGGAGGCCCCGGAGGACACTACCGGCCCCGGGCCACTGCCGCTGCTGCACAGGGCTCTTACTCACCAGAGCAGCCGGCGAGGGAAGGACCGAGGAGCTTTCTCTTGGGGTGGGCTGGGGAAAGCACCTCTCCTCCCGCTCCCGTGGCTCCCTGCAGCAAGGCGAGGGGGCCGGTGGCTCGGGCTGTCCCACACTGGAGGCAGCGTGGCCAGTTCTCCGGGGTCAGTGGGAGGCTGCTGGGGGAGGGCTGGCAGGACCGTCTTTGTGTCACTCTTGCCCAGGGGCCTCTTTCTGCCATTGAGCTTTGGAGAAAGGCCCCCGGAGGAGGAGGAGGAGGAGGAGGAGGAGGAGGAGGAGGAAGATGCGGACCACAGCCTGCTTACCGCGGGCTCGCTTTCTTTCCGGGAGTTTATTTCACTGGGGGTGCCGGCCATGGCCTGGCACCTTGCTCGTCTTTGCGCTTGATCTGCCCTAAGGTTCGTTCAAAGCCGCATTTGCCTCTCCGCGCCTAATTCGGCCATTGTTGACTCTAAGGCAGGACAACGCTTCCCGCCATCTCATGAATGGGCTGAACGAAGATTCACCCACAAGTCCCGGGCCGGGCGCAGATACGGGGATTGCCAGTGTGGCGCGGTGGCGAAGCGCACGGGACCGGGACTCAGGCGATCTGGTTCGAGTCCCCGCGCGGCCATGGAGCCCACTGGGGGACTCTGGGCCAGGCACAGGCTCTCGGGCCAGCCTGCCTCACAGGGTTGTTGTGGTGGGGATAGGATGGAGGAGGAGGATGTAAGCTGCCTAGAGCCCTTTGTAGGAAACAGGCAGGATAGAAATCGAAAATAAATGAATAAATATACCCCGAGAGGAACTCCGAGGGTATAGAAACTGTGCAGAGTCACCATTTCCACAGCAAACAATGAGCAAACGTTTGTTTTTCGCTCGTGCGTGTCTTGGAAATGCGAGGCGCGCTTGCAGGAACTTGCTCGGGTTCCTCCGGGTCCCGCCTTCACAGCCGGGGGGGGGGCGAGGCGGGCGCCCGCCCGGTCTTACGGGAACCCCCCGGGGCGCTGCTGAGTCACGCCGCTCGCCGGAGAAAAGGAAAGCAAAACGGGCCCGGCCAGGGCGGCGCTCCGGCGCTTCCGGCGCTGGCGGGGGGCGGGCGGGCGCCCTCCCCTCCCCTCCCCTCGGAGGCGGCCCGGGAGCGCCTGGGCGGAGGCTGCTCTATAAAAGTCCGCGCGGGGCAGAGCCGCGCAGCTTCGGGCGAGCGAGACGCGGTCGCGGCTACCGGGACGGGACGGGACGCGCCACACCGGCTCCGACAGCCTCTCCGCCGCTCGCCCAGCCCAGCCCAGCCCAGCCCCAGCGCGCCGCCGCCGCCGCCGCCCCCCGGCCATGAGCTCCATGGTGGACCTGAAGGCCTTGTACGAGGTAAGGCGGGGCGCCCGCGCCGCTCTCCCGCCGCCCGCCAGAAGGGCGGCGCTCCCGTGCGCCTCGCCGAGATGCCCGCCGCCGCCGCCGCCGCCGCCGCCGCCGCCGCCCGGGCTCGGCTCGCTGGGCGCGG